GGAAGAAGCCAGGCGGGGGCAGGAAGAGGTGGGGTCGGGGCAGGACCGGCTCCAGGCACCAGCCCACCAAGCTTGTGCTTGGGGCGGCACCTGGAGGGGGGTGGCGCGGTGCGGTGCTCCAGCTCCGGCCACCGGGGAGAGCGGAGCCCCGGACGGGGCTCACCGCCCTCCCCCCGGGGCTCCGGCCACCCTCCCCTGCCACACTGGGGGGCGGGGGCAGCCGGAGGCTTTTTTGCCTGGGGCGGCAAAAAAGCCAGAGCTGGCCCTGGGTCGGGGTGGGGCCTTGGGGGAGGGGGTGGGGTGGGGACTGGACCCAGGGCTGAATGGGGGTTGAGCAGCCCTGGGGAAAGGAGGAAACTAGCGTCTGTGATTTCCTGCAAGGTGTGGGGGGGGTAGGAAGGAAACCTGTGAAAAGGGAACTGAACTTGCAAAAGCCATGGGTCTCTTTTGTTCCTACAAGTAACCCCATCGTCTGACTGTTTCCTTGGGCTCCCCTCATCTGTCTGTATCCATCTGTTGCCTCTTGTCTGTTGTCAGCTCTTTTTGTTGTGTTTGCAGAGCACCGAGCACCAGGGGGTCTTGGCCCATGCCCGGGGCTCTTGGGTGCTACTGCAATCCCAGTTGTCAATCAGAACAGAAAGAGATGAGAAGGGGAGAGTCTGACATCTCTGCCAGAGATTGTTTACCGGTAACAGCAGTAGCAGACATGACACCGAACAGGCCGCCAGCAGCAGGCAGGGGTGTGCACAGAGAGGAGCGAGGGGGCCTGGGAATCTTTGGCTGTTTTGCTCGCAGGCCCATCCAAAAATCCTTCAAGATATAACCAGGGGAGCAAGAAACCCTATATTCCAATTTTAGGACATACTGCTAGAAGGCTAGATCAGAAAAAGGGTTGTTGGTTTTTTTAAATTCATCTATTAAAAAGCAACTCCAATTGGCAATGTCTAGTGACAAGCAGGGTTTGTTGCAATGACACTGAAAATCAGGAATCGAATCCCTGAACTGTCCCCCGAAGACAGAGGGAAAGGAAACAATTCTGATGCCACACCCCCTGAATTTACACTGAAAGGATAGGTGAGGGGACAGACCCCTGCCAGATGTGAGTTAGGATGGGTAGACAGCCCTGACTGACATCAGCCATGTGGGCATCACCCACAGCAGATACGATAGTGGAAGAGATAAGAGGGAGATGAGAAGATATGAAAGTGCTGCTGGATTCCCAGATCTTCATTCCACTGACAGCTCCTGAGGTGGTTTAGCCTATTTCTCACCTGTTCGGGCACCTCTTGGGACCTCCCTTTCCTGGGAGCTCTGGAGGTCTGGGACCCAGGGCTCTTCCCCTCGTTCCAGCTGGGAAATCACGTCGGGTTTGGGAATGGAAGATCCTGCTCAGGGAGAAAGGAAATCAACGTTTGTCAAATATTCCTCGACTGTTTGTTACGAAGAATGGCCCCTGATTTAAACCCTGATTTAAACTCTTTCTGCTGGGAGGAGCCGTTTCACCTGAATAGATGGGGGATGTTCCCCGAGGCCCTTGGGAAAGCCACACAGTGTCTGGGAGATGTGTTGTGCCCCTTATCGCTGATTCAGGGTCCTGCACATAACTTAGGCAAAGAGAAATTAATAAGCCTGGTACTTGCTGCTATCTCTACTGCAGTGAGACCGGGGCCTCTCAGCGCCTGGAACCAGCCCCAGGAGGCGAGGGGACACGGTGAGCCTCTGTACAGGGGAATCGCACCGTGCTCTCCCCACTGAAAGCCCCGGACCGTGTTCTGCCTCTGAACAGCCTTCCCTATGGGAGGAGACGGGGAGGTGGCAGACTCTCCCGCAGCTTGGCGTGTTGGCCAAGGTGGCAGCCATCACATCTGCTGCTGTTCATGCATCCTGCCCAGCCACCCCCGTCTTCAAGAAGGGACTCTGACTTCCCTGCGCTGCGTACTCCAGCTGCTCTGCAGGGCGGGGAGGGTTGTGACCCGGAGCAAACCCAGCGTCACCTCAAGAGGCTTTTGCAACTGTGTTACTGGGGGTGGGGGTGTCCGGTGAAGGTGAGTTGGACAGAGAAGCCAGTGACTGGTGGGCGTGTCTCTCTGCCTGCGTGCGACTGGTGCTGTATATGCTTGTCGGGGGACAGAGAGTGACTGTGGCGTGTGAGGGTTAGATTATGGGTGTGTGGCTGTGACTGGAGAGCTGTGGGAGACACTGGACCGAGGGGAGGCGGAGGGAAGGTGTGGAGATGATTGAAAAGAAGGATTGTGGGAGGAAGGAGGAGACGCAAGGGGAGAACAGTGGAAGAGAAGGCAAAGAGCACCGCAAAGGGCGGGAAAGGGGGATCCAGAGAGAAAAAGAAATAGGGAGACGCGATGTAGTGAAATACAAAGAAGAGCAGAACATAGGAATTGCCAGACTGATCAGACTCAAGGTCCATGTAGTCCAGTGCCCAGTCCAGTCCAGAGGACGGAACAAGCAATTTTGCATTAAGCAAATGTGGAATAATCTGCTCCCCATGTTAGGTCTCACCCTCATCTCTACAGATTAGCTTAAACCCTGAAGCATGAGGGTTGTATAAGGCCAGACAAGACCACTGTGATCATCTCATCTGACCTCCTGGATAACACAGGCCATGCGACTTCCTTAATCATAAGGCAAGTTTTACAATCATTGAATCATTCTCCTGGCTCTTCTCCAATTTATCAACATCCTTCTTGAATTATGGGTGCCACAACTAGACACAGTATTCCAGTAATGATCACACCAGTGCCAAACAGGGAAGTAATATAACCTCCCTGTGCTTACTTGATATTCCCATTTATACACCCTAGGACTGCATTAGGATTGCACCAAGAACTCTCGTTCTGCTGGTTATCCACCACGATCCCCAAGTCTTTCTCAGCATCACTCCTACCCAGTACAGAGTCTCCTCATCCTGTAAGTGGGACCTAAATTCTTTGTCCCTAGATGTATAATTTTACATTTGGCCTCATTAAAATAAATATTTTGTTTACACCCACTTTATCAAGGGATCCAGATTGCTCTGTATCAATGACCTGTCCTCTTCATTATTTACAACTTCTCCAATCTTTGTGGCCCCTGAAAATTTTATCAGTAATAGTTTTATGTTTTTATCTTATTATGCATATAAATGTCCCATCCTAAATTCTTGGCCTTAATGATTTCCCTGCCTAATTATGCATCATTTTGAATATCACACCTTTTTCATTTTGTTAGAAAACCCCAAAGGGGAGAGAGTGGGTCATGTTTTAAACAAGTTATGTAACAGAAAGGCCAGTGAGAATGTAACAATTAAATCCAGGTGGATAACATTTGCATATAAGGGGGTGGGGAGGAATACCCACAAGGGTTCAATCCCTCCCCACCCCCGCAAAGTGCTCACTCATTTATGGGCTACTTGAAAGGTATTGTCTGGGGTCTCCCCCTGCCACTCCAGGCCTGGCTGGATCCCCAGACTTCTAAGGTATGTCCACATTGCACACTAAACCCAAGCTCTGACTCAGGTTTCAGCCCAAGCCCCACTTCCATCCACACACAGATCAGTCTGACTCACATCAGCAAGTACCTGAGTCCTAGACCCTGCTCGTGGGGCGGGTCAGAGCTCAAGTCCTGCTGTGGCTCAGGTCCAAGCCTTGTTATTTTGAACGCAGGCCAAGCCACAGACCCGAGTCAGAAGGTCTGTGTGGTGCAGTATGAATGCGTTGGTATGGCTGTGAGATCTGGGTTTCGCAATTGTAAGTCTAGGTTACAATGCAGTGTGGACGCTCAAGCATGGGCTTCGAAACACCAAGGCCACAAACACAAGCTCCTCCACAGAGCTTCAAATAAACGAGAAGAGCTTAATCCTTACGCAGTGAGACCAGAGTCTGGTAATTCTCCTGCATGACGTCCCTGTAGAGGGCCCTCTGCATATCGTCCAAAAGGCCCCATTGCTCCCGAGAGAAATACACAGCCACATCCTCAAATGTCACCGGGACCTGAAATCACAAGCGTTGCCCACTCAGTACCTGCTGGTTCATGAACAATCCCACTGCCCAAGCCATGTGCCCCAGTCTCCCGTACCTTATAGTCTGTGGCACGGCAAGGCAATAGCTCACCTAGAGCTCCGGTTAGACTCAACTGGCACCACGTTCTCACGGGACCCCTCAATGCAGGCCTGCTTTCCCCCAGGTGTAAGCCCACCCCGCACTCCATACCCGCCTCAGACATCACTGAACTCCGAAATGCCAATGCTGGGAAGCCCAGAGGCAGAATGTGGCTGGGTCCTGAGCTCCGGGCACTTTTCCATTAATTTGCCCCCATCTTGGGATCTGTGGCTTCACGTCTGGGTCTTGGCAAGACTGGGAGATTCAATCAGAAACTTCTCAATGATGCTCTATTATTCACCCATCCTGCCAGAAACAATTCCCAGCAGCCCTTGCCCAGCACAGAGAGGAAAGTGCTGGGATTTGATCCATATGCTGTAGCTCAGGGATTTCTCCCTTCCCCAATCATCTCCTTGATCCTACAAGTCAGCCCCTGTTTCGAACACATCCTGGCAGGCTGCACTCTCTCCCCTCCTCCACCTTCCTGTGTATTTAGTCCTCTCCCTGCATAACAAGCCCCCCCAGCCCCATGAAAATGCCTTACCTTAGCTGGCTCCGGTGCAGCCATTTCTCTTTTCTGTCCCCCTGAAACAATCAAAAGGTGGGTCTTATTTATTCCTCAACTTGTCAGGGCACTGAGGGCAAATGGGGAGAGATGAGGCCGGGCTCCCGACCATTTTAAAGCCTGATCCTCTCTCCAGTCTCTGTCTGCATGCAAAATTTGCAGGCTGTGTGGTGCTGGTAAAATGCTTGATAGTGCAGATCTGGCACCTGGCACCGGGCTAAGAACACCAAAATATTTTAAACCCTCCCTTTACCAGCCCTGCAAAGGCAGACTGAAAAGAAGCTGTTTTGGTGAAACCAGTTCCATCAGCATGTTTACTAGACAGAAGCAGAAAACTGACTTAGGGAAAGGGGAGGGAGCATTTCTCATTTCTCCTCTGGCTGGGAGCCTGGGTTATTGTTCCATTCCTGGAAGCGCTGGTCTCTCGGACCTGCACCGGCTCCGGCGAGTGCTAACAGAACTGAGATCCTGTGTGTGTCAGGGGCACACAAGGAGCTGAGATGGGGAGAAGGCACAGCCATTTTTACATAGTCCCCTTGCTGCCCATCGCCAGTCAGTGCTTGAGTTCTCTCTCTCAATTACCTGTGTCTCCCTAGGGCTAGTCAGAGCCAGAGACAGGCCCCACCTTGGCTAGGAACAGGGCCTTGCTGTGAGATCTCTCCCTGGGGTCAGGCAGCAGAACAGCTCAGGCAGGCCTCTGGGCACAGCAGAGGCTGTTGCGATTGCAAATTACAGGCAGCAGCAGCTACATCTCAGGAAGCTCAACCCCTGGTATCCAAAGCACAGGAACTAGCAAGAGGAGAGAGAGGCACAGCTTCTCCTGCCACAATAACCGTCACCCTCTAGCGGTCATCCCCACAGAAACCTGGACACAGCCTCCCCCACAGAGCAGTCCAGGATCCTTCCTCAGTGTTTAACTAATAGAAAATCAGAGGGGAAAGAACAGCATGTGACAGGCATAGCTCTGTTCTCCAGGGCTGGGCAGGCGCACCCGGACCAGGTTCCCATCAGCCCAGCGTCCCTTTTAGTTTAGGATCCCCCTGGAACAGGGTGGATCTCCCGCCCAAATGCCCTCACTTCTGTCAGAGGATGTGTGGGTGTGGGTGTGTCTCCGGTTGAGCTCTTCCTGATGGTTTTAAAAGGGGTCGCTTTGTTCTGACCTGACCCTCTCTCTGTCTCCCACAAAGTCTCTGTTCTCTATAACTAGGCTTAGAAGGATTCAGTTTTTGCTACAACACCGCAAGCATCAATAAACGTCGATTTCACTGGACACGCGCGAACGGACGCAAAAGTATTTCCATCCATAATCAAAATGTAGAGATAGGCAAAGTAAGAAAAATGCCGCTTGAGGACTTATTTGAGTTTGGTTTCAAGATATTTACTTCGTGTATCTTGACACGTGATGTTGACAGTTTGTGTTTCCCAGTGGTTACAAAGCTGTAACTTTATGAATGTCAGTGTCTGCTGTCATTAAACAATTCTTGTCTGGTCCCCGCCATGTCTAATTTCCTTACAATGGCGAAAGTGTAGCTAGATAAAAATCAAAGACAGTGCTTAAAAATAAAAATCAATATTATCCATTAAAATTGTAAAAAAAATTGAATTCTGCCAAGCTTCTCTCAGCCTCCCCCGATCCCAGTATATCCCGCAGCAGTTCCCCTCTCTGAATCTCTCAGGCCCTCACTCCCATCTCCTGGGGGTCTGTGTAGAATTGTCTATAGCAGGGGTTGGCAACCTTTCA